ATTTATTTTATTTTATTTTATTATTATTATTATTTTTTTTTTTTTTGGCGGAACTGGGGATTGAACTCAGGCCCTTGCGCTTGCCAGGGAAGCACGTATTCCACTGAGCCATCTCCCCAGCCCCTGGGAGAGCAGTTTTGAGGGGTCTTAGTGAGTAGACCTCCAGCATGACCATGTCCTGAAAGCACTTGGTGGGTCACTGTGACACCGGTCCTGCATGCTAGGAAATAGCTCTAAAGTTCAGCTAGATTCAGGCTGGAATTATTTTGGCAAGAATTATAAAAGGTTTGTGCACTCACATAACACTGGGTGGTCCACTATGTCATGGTCCCATTGTTTGGGGTGGTGGGAATGAGGTGGTGCCGATACCTTGCAAACATTACTCCATCCACACCATCCCATGAGCCATAATGCTGGGCTAGAGAGTGCTCCACCCTCCACACCCTCCCCCCAAGACCAGCCACGTCCTAATCCCTGCAACTGGAGAGTGAGTGCCTTTCGTGGCAGGGTGTGTACACAGACTCATTCAGCTGGGCAGCCTGGAGTGGTTTCTTGGTTACTTTTTTCTCATTGCTGAGACAAAATGCACCGGAATCAAAGGAGGAAAGGTTTATTTTAGCTTAAAGTTTATAGAGGTTTCAGCCCATACCTGCCTGGCTCCAAGGCTGGGTGGCACAGCACAGAAGGCAGCAGTTTATGGGGGTAGCAAACAGCCAGAGCAGAAAGGGCGGAGCAGCCGCGAGCAGGCCTCCTTCCCTCACGCTGTACACAGGCGCAGGCTCTCCCCCCAGGGCGGTGAGGTGCTTACACACAGTCCCAGAGTTGGACCAGAATAGGCTCCCCCTTCCCTCACACTGTACGCAGGCGCAGGCTCACCCCCAGGGCAGTGAGGTGCTTGCACACAGTCCCAGGGTTGGACCAGAGCAGGCCTCTTCCTTCCCTCACGCTGTACACAGGCGCATGCTCTCCCCCCAGGGCAGTGAGGCGCTTGCACCCAGTCCCAGCGTTGGACCAGAGCAG